TAATTTCATTTCCCTAATTTCCCATTTCCCTAATTTCCCATTTCCCTAATTTCCCATTTCCCTAATTTCCCATTTCCCAAATTTCCCATTTCCCAAATTTCCCATTTCCCTATTTGTCAATTTTTCCAATTTCCCTATTCGTCAATTTTCGCAATTTCCCAATTTCCCAATTTGCGAATTTCCCAATTTCCCAATTTCCCAATTTGCGAATTTCCCAATTTCCAAATTCCCCCATTCCCTAATTTCCCAAATTTTCAATTTCCCATTTCCCCACTTCCCCATTTCCCCACTTCCCCATTTCCCCACTTCCCCATTTCCCAGTTTCCCAATTTCCCAATTTCCTAATTTCCTAATTTCCCAATTTCCCAATTTCCCAATTTCCCAATTTCCCAATTTCCCAATTTCCCAATTTCCCAAATTCCCAATTTCCCAATTTTGTATTTTTCTAATTTTCTAATCTCTTAAATTCCTAATTTCCAAATTTCCTAATTTTCTAATTTCCCAATTTGCTCATGTCCCAATTCCTCAATTCCCCAAATTTCCTATCACCCAATTTCCTGTTTCCTAATCTCCCAACTATTAATTTCCCGTTTTCCAATTTTTCATCTCCTAATTTCCCAATTTACCAAATTCCCTATCACCCAATTTCCTGTCTCGCAATGTGCCAACTATTAATTTTCCGTCTCCCAATTTTCCAATTTAAATTTGTCATCTTACAATCCAATTACCCATTCAGCAATTCCACATCCCCAAAGATCAAAATTCAGAAAGCTCGAAAATTTGAAAATCAGAAAATATAGAAATTAAAAATTGAAGAGTCAAAATTTTGAAAATTGAAATTTGAAATCTGTCTCAAATCTGGCACAATGCCCTCTGTTCTCCGTGCACTCAGCTGCCCATCACCGTTACCCAGACCCAGAGGATGGATGTTTCCGTCGTATAGTTAATAAACGATGATAATAAATGTACGAGGATTGCAATGAACGAGGCTCGTTAACGTTGGTTAAAGACGAAAGCGTGTTAACTGTTAATCGCTCGAATCAATGAAACTATCCCGCATCCAACGCGGAATCAGCGTTACATCACGATAAACCGTGTCAGGCGTGTATCAATATATGGCACCGTAAGAAGTCCCCAAAAAACGACTAGATCGTCTAACGTTCCGATAAGAAAATATATGTATGTGTATATTACTTGTTGGAGCCGACCGTGCTACGGTAATAAATACAAGTGTATAATACGTAGTTATCATTTTTCTCGCATGCGGAGGTAGTGTTTTAATCGAAGTTCGATCGACTAGCGATCCTCTCTCTCTCTCTCGTTACACAATTCGGTACTTGTGTGTAAGGTAACATTAGGTATTATGCAATTAGTGTCGCTTAAATCGCAGCATGCAATGCACGGATAAATTTCAGTGTTACATAGCCTAAGGACTTACGATTAGTAAATCGTCGAGACTAGTCGACGGTGCGCATTGTTTTATCATTTTCGACGCAGCCGTGCCACCGTTCGACGGGGACGACGTGCAATTACAATGGACGAGCGTGTCGCGTGCTCAGCTACTCTCTCGAAACGAGTTGAAATCGTGTCCGATCACGGGGGGCACCCCTGCCCGCCGCTGTCGCGTTACAACGATTCCTTAAAAATCTAGAAAGATGCCCGCGGAAACCCTCCGGGCAAAATGTGGGGCCGCGACAACGGCGGCCCGAGGAGCTCAACGAAACGTACGGCAATAGAAAATGACGACCGGGGAACGTCGTTCCCCCGGGTCGACAACAACAGAGGAAACCCGGTGGGCACGCGCGGCCCGCCGGGATCGCCCGCCGTATCACATACGAGCGGACCGATGAAACGAGGCGGGGTGTAATTACTGGTGGTGCCGTTTGAACTCCGTGTCGAGCGACTTCCGATCCGAGTGACAATCGTCGTGACCCAGAACCTCGGACCGGCTCATCTCGAAGCCCGTTCCGGGCAGCCAGCCCCGGAATAACCGAATATCAACATCTGCACAAGCCGGTTGCATTTAGACGCCAGTGTGGTTGAATATGTAGGACACGTTGCTCTCCTGGTGCACCGGGGGCCCATGGAAGGTCCGTCTGGTCGACGAGTTGTTGTTGTTGTTGTTCACGTAGTACGACGACTTCCTCATGCTCGTCGAGGAGGACATCATCGCGACCGTCTCGTAGTACCTGATCTTGCCGCAGCAGCGGCCGCTCTTCAGGATCGCGACGAAGCCGCGCCGATACTTCTTGTTGAAGAACGCGTACAGAATCGGGTTGATGCAGGAGTTGCTCGCGCCCAGCCACTGGGCGATCGGCGTGGCGATGGGCAGGATCTCGTCCTCCCTGTCGACCACGTCGCCACCCAGCTTGATCACCGTGAAGATCACGTACAGAGGCAGCCATGACAATACGAACAGTATCACCACCACGACCAGCATCTTCACCACCTTCACCTTCGACTTCTGCTGTATCCTCTCCATCTGGGCGTCTTTCGTGTCCGTCGGTATGTGCCGTCGCCAGACCTTGATCCAGATGAGTATGTAGCACAGGGAGATCAGGATCGTCGGAAGAACGTAGCAGAGAGTCAGGTTCCCGATCAGAAAGAAGAGGGTGCCGTCCTCGGGGTGCGGCCACACCTCTAGGCACAGCCTTAGGTCAGGATCGTCGTCGTATATGGACACCAGGTCGAAGAACAGCAGCCAGGGAGATGTGGTCGTCAGGGCGATGAACCAGATCACCACTATCATCATCCGGGCACGACGTTTCGTTATTTGGCATTTCAGCGGCCACCAGATCGCCAGGAACCTGCGAACGCACGAACGGATGTTAGAGATCTTGCGAGATATGTTACTCGTGTAGAGACATTGCGAGATAACGGGGATATTCCGTGTTATAGTCACGTGGATTGTATGCGGATTATGGGTGTGGTAGTATCTTCTGAAGGTAGGACTTCTAGCAAATACGTGTTCATACTTGGCAAATGGATTCCCCACCACAGTAAATAGAACTAGTTGCTCTAGCGATAATTCTTGTTTTGCCATTTTCTTTACCGTATAATTACAAAATTATATCTTTGCCTAATGAAAATGAGGACTCGATATGCAAACAGTTCAGAAACTTATTAGAATTTAACTAATGCAAATAAAAATCCATAGTGAAAATCCAGTTTACGTTGCACGCACAGCTAGAGCTGATCGAAATCTCAGTGGCGGATGTGTATACGTTCCGACCTCTGAAATTTCCGGAATAAAATTTAGTTCGTTGCCCAATAAATTCCTGAGGAACGACACCTTATCGTTTCGCGATACAGCGAATGTGGAATGCGTCGCATAAATGTGGGTCTTGCTGTACCTATTCTTACGCGGTTCTCGCGATCGTTGAAGCGTAACAGGCTCGAGTGTCTTTCGAAACCGCGAATAGAATATACATTTCCATAATGGAGGCATAAAAATGAGCGGTTACGTTTTGTGCCACACGATCCTGGGATCGCGTGGGTGGTTCTCTAGCACTATTGCTCCAGTATCGTAAAATCTATATGGTGGTTCACGCTTGATAAACAATTGATCATCTTGCGAGCCATATTTAAATGTCACGGCGTATTTTCGTATCGATATCTTTCTGTGAACCGAGGAAGCTTTATTTCGAAAGCTTGGAGATTTCTATTGAAATTGTCTTCGATTTTTTTTTTTAATTCTTTTTGATAGAAAATATTGTATGTTTGCATGTTTCAAACTTAGGCTATGTTCTGCTTCTTTGATTTTTTATTTGAGGATTTGTAAGAAGCTTAACGTGGTTTATATTAAATCAAAAGACTATATGAATGTATTGCAGTACGCTCCTCAGCCGCTCCGCCATCTTGATTCAGGGCGGCCATGTCAGACGCTCAACCTAACCTAACGCGCAGCGGAAGAGTACACCAAAAATTCTATGTAGACTATTAATAAAGTAAGACAATTAAATTTACATTAAAATGATCTATTTTATTTTTTATGTGAACATAACAAGGCGATTGTGTTTTGTGTAAACCGTCGCGAATGATCGCGTTTAATCAGAAAGCTCCGCGTCCTTCGAAACGTTGTCGCTGTCGACGCTGAAGAGTCCTTCTATAAATCAACGTGTAACGATACCGATCTACGGCGATTCACCGTCGCTCGATACTTCCGCGCGTCCCTGCGATCGTTTGCATGTTTACAGCTCGCGGAATGCACCCATGTCCGTGTATGTGTACTTAGAAGTTGTTAGAAGGACGAAGAAAAAAAAAAATCGGTCGATTCGCGGATACGAATTATCGGGAACGATCAAGGTCGCGGAGTGGGAACGAACAATGAAGACGACACAGCTTCCGACACGTACATATGTATATAAAGAGTTCGATTTCTGTGCAGCTAACAGCAGTATCGATTCCGCGTCCCTTCGTGTTTACGAACGGAAAAGCCGATAAAACGTTTAACATGTTCAAGCTGGCAAGTATATCCATCCGTATGTCTGTACGCGTTCACTTAGCCGCTTCTCTGTGCCCGCGTGTACTCAGCGCGAAAGTGTTCGATTGAAATTTTCTGTTTGTTTCGATGGCAAATACGCTGTCGAAAGTGTTGGTCCGTGGAGACGCGAGGTGAAATTTTTATTGGATCTGGATCTAGTCGGAAATGGGGGAGGTGGGAATGTGAGGATGTGGAAATTGGGATTTGGGGATAACGCAATTTGGAGATATGGGGATTTGGGGATGGAGGTATTTGGAAATGTGGGGATTTGGGGATGTGGAGATTGGGGGTAGAGGTATTTGGAAATATAGGGATTTGGGGATGTGAGGGTTTGGGGATGTAGCAATGTGGAGATATAGGGATTTGGGGATTTGAGGATTTGGGGATAAAGCAATGTGGAGATATAGGAATTTGGGGATGTAAGGATTTGGGGATGGAGTCATGTGGAGTAATAGGGATTTGGGGATGTAGAGATTTGAGGATAGAGGTATTTGGAAATATAGAGATTTGGGGATATAGAGATTTGGAGATATAAGGGTTTAGAGATATTCCCCAATACCCTATCCACCAAGTCCCCATATCGTAAAATCTCCATACTCTCAAACTGCTATGCCCTCAAGTTCCCAGATCAAATTCTCTAATCCCTAAATTCCAAGCCCACATTCTCCGAATCCCACATTCCCCAAATCCTACATTCCCCGAATCCCACATTCCCCGAATCTCACACTCCCCAAATCCCACATTCCCCGAATCCCACGTTCCCCGAATCTCACATTCCCCAAATCCTACATTCCCCAAATCCCACATTCCCCAAATCCCACATTCCCCAAATTCCACATTCCCCGAATCCCACATTCTCCAAATCCCAAATTCCCCAAATCCCAAATTCCCCGAATCCCACGTTCCCCGAATCCCACGTTTCCCGAATCTCACATTCCCCAAATCCTACATTCCCCAAATCCCACATTCCCCAAATCCCAAATTCCCCAAATCCCAAATTCCCCAAATGCCAAATTCCTCAATCTTCAAATTCTCAAATCCCCAAATTCTTCTAACTTGCAATATCTCCAGATTTCTGCATACTGAACCCCCTAGGGATTTTCCCTAGATCCTCATATTTCAACATATCCCTAGATGTGTCGTCTCACCAACTAATCCCTGTAAAATCCACATGATATTCTTATATGTTTGTCCACTCCTATAATTTCACAAATAAATCAGTATCCCTAGTTCCATGACCGATGATCGCATGAAAGCCAATCAACAGTATAACTATTATATTATACTCCCCGTATCAATTCAACTAAATGCACGGATAATAGCTCATTTCACATAACTAGCTCCATAAATCTTCCACCAACTAAACATTATTAATTGAATAATCAGCAGGTACACTGATCCTGTTAATATGCTTGCCATGCTAACAGCGTTGCATAATAGCGATTTGTGACGAGTATGAATAATCAGGAGCCATAAATGAATTATTATGAGATACGTGTCTATCAAATTCTTATTATAAACTGATAATAATATCGTTCATTCAACGACGAAGACTTCATTCATTGATAGTTTATTTTAGGAACGGAGATAGATTCAATGTCTTTTATTATTCATAGCGGGCAATTATTTTGTTATGTGCACATTGAAAAGTGACCAAAGATAAGTTCATTTGTTCGTCAAACAAAAGTCTTTCGCTAAATCCATTAGCAAGTTTCGTGCGCTTTACGCTCGAACGACCGGTTAACTTTCTCGGCTAACAGATTAACACTTTAAGTGCTGTATAAATTTTCGCGGAGATCTGTTATCTATTTTAGTTGGAACAGTCTTTTAGTCAGCTGCGAATAATTTTGTTAATTACTTGGAATTTTGCCTTTGAATATCGGTATGCATTCAATTTCTTGCGGATCTGATTAATTATTGCAAATGACTCTTGTTATTTATCGGGAGATCTGCACTGTTTATGATTGATTTTTATTGTGAGGTTCTTGTGAGATGCTATTTTTACTTTTTAAGGATCAAAGGTTTCGGAGTTTTGAAATTAAGAGAAAGGATTTTTAAAAATTAAGAGAAAGGATAGACTTTTGGGAAAGTACAGAAAATAATAAGTTAGGTTAGGTTCTCAAATAATAAGTTGGCAGTCATCAACTTTTAATAACATTCCTCCTTTCATTCAATAGCCAACTAACTAACCTAATTGGGATCACAATAAAAAATCAACTGTAAAATTTTGTTTCATGTACAACAAATAGTCGTACCAGCGATTATTTAACTAGTGGCCATTTAACTAGTGGTCATTTAATTAGTGGCCTTTTAACCTAACCTAACTGTGATTATAATAAAAAATCAACTGTAAAATTTTGTTTCACATCCAACAGATAGTCGTATCAGTGATCATTTAACTAGTGGTTATTTAACTAGCGGCCATTTAATTAGTGGCCTTTTAACCTAACCTAACTGTGATTATAATAAAAAATCAACTGTAAAATTTTGTTTCATATCCAACAGATAGTCGTATCAGCGATCATTTAACTAGTGGCCATTTAACTAGTGGTCATTTAACTATTGGTCATTTAATCTAACCTAACTGTGATCACAATAAAAAATCAACTGTAAAATTTCGTTTCATATCCAACAGATAGTCGTACTAGCGACCATTTAACTAGTGGTTATTTAACTATCGACCATTTAACTAGTGACCATTTAACTACTGGCCATTTAACCTAATTAACTGTGTCCCCAATAAAAAATCAAATGTAAAATTTTGTTTTATATCCAACAGATGGTCGTCCTAGCCGTGGCCATTTTGGCTATTTCAGCATCGCCAGTGCCACCCTTGATCTCTCATCCCCTGGTCTACCCGCAACCCTACGTGAAGGTGGTACCTCTGCACCCAGCCACTCTGCCTCTGTCTTACCATCACGGCTACAAATGGCTTCACCCAGGCTCCGTCTACCTCTACTGAACAACTTCGACAACTCATACTTCAGCAAACAGCTGAATCTTATTTTTGTACCGTTCTTTTGAAATAAAGCATGCGGCGGTGACTGCAGTCGAATCGAACTTGTTCCCTTTTACCAACTAATTCCGTCGTGGAAGTCTTTTATTCAGGCTGTAAAACCCGCGAGGTTGGCAGCTTCGATCGAACGCTGAGTTTACCAAAAGGGCGGAGTCGCGATCGTAAAAGGAGAACGAAGTTGGGCGAACAAAGAAGATTTAACTGTTCTGTTTAGACGGTTCGTCGTAACACGTGTCCAGGGTTTATCACACTTAGGGTGAACGCACCCTGCGGGTCCATGCCACTTAGCAGCATTCTTCTAGCTTTAGGTCGTTAGGAAAATAAGGAAAGCAAGAAATTTTCCAAGCTGTTACAGGAAACGCTCCCTTAGTATCTTGTTATGATTCGTCAGATCAGTCGGAACTGATCACAGCTACAAAACGAAGCAACTTAAAATGTTATGTCAATCTAGTATTATGATATCGACCATATTAATTGGACTTCAAATTGAAGTGTGCTGAAAATTCGAATAAAATTGATCACAGAGGTAGTGCGTCCTGAGTGGGTCATGACTGCAAGTCAGACCGAACATTCGAGTAAAATATGATCGCAGAGATAGTGCGTCATGAGTGCGTCACGACTGAAAATCAGACTGAATATTCGAGTAAAATTGATCACAGAGGTAGTGCGTCATGATTGCGTCACGACTGCAAGTCAGACTGAAAATTCAAGTAAAATGGATCGCAGAGGTAGTGCGTCATGAGTGCGTCACGACTGCAAATCAGACCGAACATTCGAGTAAAATATGATCGCAGAGGTAGTTCGTCATGAGTGCGTCACGACTGCAAGTCAGACCGAACATTCGAGTAAAATTGATCGCAGAGATAGTGCGTCATGAGAGCGTCACGAGCGGAAGTCAAACTAGTAGTCAGAATAATATAACGAGTGAAGGAACATTGAATAAAAAGTCGTTTGATTTGTTTGGTTTTTTTAAATAAAATTTTATTAAAATTCCATATGACCAAAGGGGGAGGGGTCCTGGATGATGGTGCAATGATCTTGATGCGAATGTCCGAATTACACAGATGATCACGGAGCCGCGGATGCTCCCGAAAGGAAAGATGCTAGCGGATTCGATCCAAGCCGGGAATTTGGATGCGTCCCGAATTTCTGCCGGGCCTGGATAAGCGTGTCCTCGATGTTGATTGCCGAAGAGAAGTATTTTTCATGGTTTTCTTCGTTTTCGTCGCTCCAGCATCGTCCGGCTAGTCGTCTTTCCTTCGCTTCTTCGTTTTCTTTTGGTTTTGAAGAGGGGGACGATCGGAATTGAGGGGTGGCGGACGGACGGGAGGGAAGGTGTATGTGTGTGTATGTGTATGTGTTTTTCTATGGGGCTGTCTCGTCGTGACTTGGTGGTAGAAGGATAGAATCAGCTGTCATCTAATGCAAGCCATGAGAAAGCAGGGGCAGTGCGGGGGCGGTCAGCACGGCTTTGGTGACGATGGGAGCGGTGCGGACGATGGGGGCGACGGGTTGAGCGATCACGTGGGCAGCAGCCAGGGCCGGGGCATGGCTGAGAACCACTGGAGCCGTGATCGGGCCAATTCCATGGTCACCTACGATGCCGGTAAGACCACCAGGAGCGGCGGTGGCGACAGCCAGGATAGCGGCGAGAACAGCCTGTGGGAAAAGTAGCACGTGCGATTCTTAGCTTAACAGAAATTCTTATCTTTCAATGGCTGTCGTCTTACGGATACCCGAGATTCTCCCACGGAATTCACGGAATAATCGGTTTACGGACGAGGAGATACCCTTCGACAATTTCCCGGAAATTTCGGACTCTTTTATGGGGATTTGAGATGCCGTTTATGCCGCCATTTCACGACGTATAGGACATTTCATGGAAACTTTGATTGGTTAGGTTTATTGATGTTTGTGAAATATGTGCGATTGTACGAATTGATATTGATGCTTCAAAAATATCTTTTGTTGATTTTGTAGCAGTTTTAGGTATTTTGTTAAATATGTTCTGATAGGTCAGCGTAAATAGAAGCTGGATTTGAGGACATTTAGTGTCTAATATTTAGTAATAAAAAATGTTGTGTCTAAAAATAAATAGTAATTAAATATTGCATGTTTAATACTTGATAATTACAAATTTTGAATGTATACAAATATTTTATAATTGAAGACATCTACTTATTAAGAATATTTAATAATCAAAAATGTCAAGTGTCTAATAAAGATTAATTACGTTAGTGTACCAGTTTACGTAAATGTCCCCATATATAGTCACTATGCTTGCATGAAAGTAATAAGACTGTCACTGAATGAAAATGTCCTCAAACTAAGGAATAATTAATACTAGTTTTCTAACAACTTTCAGTTCATAAATAAAAAGATATTTAATTCAGTACGATTTCATATGTTATGTTTACTACCAACTTTGAAAACTTATATTCCGAAAACCACTGAAACTTTTAACTAAATAAAATATGTATCAATGAATATGTAAATTTTTAGCTCTATTAATTTTCATTGAATCTTACTTTTTAATGAGTACTTGAACTGCAAAATTTTCTACAAAATTCTTTGACCAAATCATCCAATTTCGCTTAAAAGGCTGTGAACATTTCTACCTCGAATATTTATTAATTTTATTAATTCTGTAAGTTTCTAAAAAGCAATATTTCTTGTAGCTGTCAAATTTTCTGCAGAACCAAAGGAATCGAAAAATCTAATCTAGACTCAAGAAAACTCAAGACTCTAGTTGTGGAACACAGTATAAGTAGCACGTGCGATTCTTAGCTTAACAGAAATTCTTATCTTTCAATGGCTGTCGTCTTACGGATACCCGAGATTCTCCCACGGAATTCACGGAATAATCGGTTTACGGACGAGGAGATACCCTTCGACAATTTCCCGGAAATTTCGGACTCTTTTATGGGGATTTGAGATGCCGTTTATGCCGCCATTTCACGACGTATAGGACATTTCATGGAAACTTTGATTGGTTAGGTTTATTGATGTTTGTGAAATATGTGCGATTGTACGAATTGATATTGATGCTTCAAAAATATCTTTTGTTGATTTTGTAGCAGTTTTAGGTATTTTGTTAAATATGTTCTGATAGGTCAGCGTAAATAGAAGCTGGATTTGAGGACATTTAGTGTCTAATATTTAGTAATAAAAAATGTTGTGTCTAAAAATAAATAGTAATTAAATATTGCATGTTTAATACTTGATAATTACAAATTTTGAATGTATACAAATATTTTATAATTGAAGACATCTACTTATTAAGAATATTTAATAATCAAAAATGTCAAGTGTCTAATAAAGATTAATTACGTTAGTGTACCAGTTTACGTAAATGTCCCCATATATAGTCACTATGCTTGCATGAAAGTAATAAGACTGTCACTGAATGAAAATGTCCTCAAACTAAGGAATAATTAATACTAGTTTTCTAACAACTTTCAGTTCATAAATAAAAAGATATTTAATTCAGTACGATTTCATATGTTATGTTTACTACCAACTTTGAAAACTTATATTCCGAAAACCACTGAAACTTTTAACTAAATAAAATATGTATCAATGAATATGTAAATTTTTAGCTCTATTAATTTTCATTGAATCTTACTTTTTAATGAGTACTTGAACTGCAAAATTTTCTACAAAATTCTTTGACCAAATCATCCAATTTCGCTTAAAAGGCTGTGAACATTTCTACCTCGAATATTTATTAATTTTATTAATTCTGTAAGTTTCTAAAAAGCAATATTTCTTGTAGCTGTCAAATTTTCTGCAGAACCAAAGGAATCGAAAAATCTAATCTAGACTCAAGAAAACTCAAGACTCTAGTTGTGGAACACAGTATTCGCTTATCCACCATTTGCAAAATATGAAAGTTACGAAAATAAAGCAACTTGAAATTTTCCAAAATTTTTGTACCATCGTTTCATAAAAAAATTGGTATCTAAAGAATCTAAAGGAGATTTTTATCATAACGGAGAACCGCGAAGCGAGCAAAAGTGACTGACACGCGACTGGAGCGTATAACCGTACGCAAAACTGCATTCCATTTTGTCCGAGTGCGTTCGACCAGTTGGCTAACAATGTGCATGCTCCAGTGATTTCGCTCGTTCGTATTTTTCCGGCCAGACGGAAAATGGCCATTGAAGTGAACGTAAGTAAGGGTCCGTTCGTGAACGCGGGCGTGCACGCGAGGCGGAAAGGTCACGGCGTGCGATACTTCTCGAATCGTGGTATCGAAGAGCACCGGTGAACGGTTCGGAATTTTCCCTGGTAACCGATCCGGTGATTCATCTCGAAATAAATTTTGTCAATGACACAATGTGATAGTAGTTCAAAATGAAAGTGGAACTGGTTTTGTGTGACGCGAGAATATTCGACTTTTCTAAACGCTCGAAGAAAAATCGAACAGCTGATCGGAATTAAAAGATAGATAGTGCGTTCTTACCAACTTGAACATGTTGAGTGGTTGTGGGTTGCTTGTTTTCTTCACGAAAGTAAGAAAGCTTATGCTGGATGTACCGTTGGTCGGTCCTTTTATACAAAAGTCAATCTCAAAAAATCCCTGTAAATTTGATCACGTGGCCCGCCGTTCGACAGTCTGACGTTATGTATCGGTCGGTTGAGTCAGCCGATCTACGAACAGGGTGGGGTTAGGTTCGCCCAATGCCGGCTCGTTATCGAGTCGAAACGACGTGCGGCTGACCAATCGCGTGCTTTCAACCCCTCGCGATCAGATCCGTGGAATTGGGTTAAGACACTTTATGTGGAAACAGTTCAATTGCCTGCATACGGTGCACGTCGCCGGTGGACGTGTGTGAGCGACACACACGCGCACCCGCTGTGACCGGGGTAAGTGTGCGACTATGAAAACGAGCTATGCAAACTTATTTCGTAAAAACCTGGATCCTTCCTCGGTGAACGTATGATTTTCAGAAATTGAGGATTTGTCTCGGAATGTGAAGCGTATGTTACATATGTGTGGCGCATATGGGGGCTATTCTGATGGATTCAATGACATAACCAGGAAGAAGCTGGAGAGCCTTCGGCGAAACCCGACGCTTTAACCGATCGATGTAACTGCCGGGGTGAAAATGCGGTTAATAATCGGATTTCGTGGACGTCCACCTGAGAGAATGACTTAATGTAATTCGAGATCGAAAGTATCGGGTTTCTGTCGATTTTAATTGTTTAGCCGGTGACTGACCGAGGGTGGCCTCGCTGTTTAGTGTTTGACAGAACGATACGGTTTCTTGTTTTGATTTGACAAATTTTTCTGGTTTTGTTTAAGTGACGTCTTAAGTAACCATGTCGATTAACTTTGATTCGGGGATGCAATATTGTATTTTATATTGGGTTTTAGTTTATTTTGTTCAAGTTATTTTGTTCAAGCTTTTTATGTTCTTTTGAGATTTATAATTAATTGTTCTTTTTTAAAGAATGTTTGAATCTTTGCAGAGGTCGACTTCATTTTTTATATCCAAAATGTGGAAATTAATTGATAGGTTGATGACCTACTAATTAAGGTTTATATAAAATACTGACACATATGTGTTGTTGACCATAACCTGTGAACTTAATTAATAATTATATAAAATTTAATATAGTCAATTCTATAAATTAATTTGCTAATCTATTTTAGTTGTTTAACCTCACTTGTTCATACCAAGCAAACAATAGAAAAATCGTAGCAAATAAGTACAGTAATGCATACACAATAACATAAAGGAATGGTAGGCGAAGAAAATCCTTGCATTACTAAAACATCTAAGAAACTGGGGGATAGTTACACGGTGTTGCTTAATCAACAGTGTGTCGATTTAAAAAAAAAGACAATCATTCACGGTCACTTCGAACCGCAAAGTGACTTAATTCGAACAGTGACGTAAATCCTATAATGCGTAAAACATAACTTGATACAAGGTCTAACGTGAAGGAAAGTACTTCCCACTTGAATCTACCACTTCTGGTGAAACGCTTTGTGTTGAAGGATTTCTTTCAATTTTCATTTTTCATTCGCTAAGTCAGCTTTGAAAGGTTCTTATTTTCTATGGGGACCTCGACGAGTTTTTCAAGGTTGATTTATTTATGTAGAGAGATTTTAAGATTTTTGTTACGGTTAACTTTACTGCATTTATTTTAAATAAATTGATTATTAACATATTTGCATTAGTGAAGTTGGTAATAGTGTTAGTTATGACGTCATATGTATATTTACATGGTGTATCGTTATGTATATTGTCATATATCATATATCCATATGCCATATATCATTTGGTGTGTATATCTACATTTTGTATATCGTCACACCCATATATCAACACGCTATATCGTCACATATCATATATGAACACATTATATTGTCACATATCACATACTGTCACATGTCTCCTATTGTCATGTGTCATATATCATCACAATGAGGTATACCTATACGTCGTATATTGTCACATTTTATATATTAACACGTTGTATTGTCACAAGTCATATATTGTCACCCACCTTGTACTCTCACATATCATACATATGTGTATATCCTCATATGTGGTATATCAATGCATTATATCGTCATAAATCACATACATATATCATATTTCAATATACATTACATGTTCAAGTATGTTGTTAAACGTTGCATTTTGTTACATGTCATCTCATAACGTGTCACATATATGTCCACCATATGTGCACCCATCATATACCTCACCGTCATATATTTAGTCGTCGTATATCTAACCTCCAGATATCTACCCGTTGTATATCCACGTGTTATACACGTAACATACATGTTTATGTATATTATTCATATGTGTGTAACATACATGTTCATGTATATGTATGTTTACGTATGTTATACATGTGTGTATATAATGTATGTATATAACATATATGTTTATGTATGTTATCTATGTTTATGTATCCATATATGTTTACGTATGTTATACGTGTGTGTGTATATAATGTATGTATATAACATATATGTTTATGTATGTTATCTATGTTTATGTATCCATATATGTTTACGTATGTTATACGTGTGTGTGTATATAATGTATGTATATAACATATATGTTTATGTATGTTATTTATGTTTATGTATCCATATATGTATAACATGCATATTTACATATGTTTATATATCCATACATGTATAACATACATATTTACATATGTTTATGTATACACACATGTATAACATGCATGTTTACATATGTTATGCTATACATACACGTATAACATCAAACCAGAACCCTAACATAAACTTCCAAAAACCCAAATCCAAAATCTGGACACCAAAGCCTAAAATGTAGCAGTTAACAGTTCACGGACCAATATCGACCCTTGCGAACTTCGTCAAAGGCACTATTGCGAATGAAGTTTAACCCCATCGTGTATCAAGCTGTCGTAATAACTTGCCGGAAAGTTGTCTCCCCAGGGTGGATTCGCAGACTTCCTCGTTGCGATGCTCCAGTAGATTTACGTCGTTCTGTAGGTCAGCAACAACTTAGGGTGTCCGCGAGCAGACGAGAATAACCGAGAAGATATATGTATTTTTTCTCTCCCGTATCGAGGTGGCAATTCGATGTAAAAAGGGTGAGGGAGGTGAGAGTGATGCATCGCAGATCGGAGGGTAAGACAATTCCTAGTCACCGACAATTCCTTTCGCCGAGGCAATTTCAGAGAGATCGATCGCTTCCGAGGGATTTCATAAAACTATTTCAGGCCACGACACCGGCCGCTCGATCTAACGTGAAATTGATAGGAAATCATTTATCGATGATATTCAGCAGCGTCACGACGCCCCTCGGTAATTCCATGCATGGCGGCTCATGCTGCATCGAGCATATTTCGGATGCTCGTAATCTGTACCCTGATTTTATTCGGCGATTTAGGTCTTTCGTATTATAATAACATTCTTGTCGGGCATGGATGAATTGTGTGGGCGTTTTGCGGAAAAATTTCGGAGGAATAGGAAATTATTGGAATAGTTTTAATTTTAATATTTTGATATTTGGATGTTGATGATTGTACGTTCAGGTTGTAATTGGTAATATTTGAGAAGTACTGTGTAATTGTGCAAGTAATAATTCGAGAGTTAGTTTATAATTGATAATTGAACATTTCTTTCAGTGAGAACTATGATGTTAATAATGAAGTAGTAGTTAAAAACAATTAAATTCTAATTGACAATTGAACATTTCTTTGACTGAGAACTACGATGTTAATTAATGAAGTAGTAGTTAAAAATAATTAAATTCTAATTGACAATAGAACATTTCTTTGACTGAGAACTACGATGTTAATTAATGAAGTAGTAGTTAAAAATAATTAAATTCTAGTGGACAATTGAACATTTCTTTGATCAAGAATAACAAAGTTATTATGCAAGTATCAGTTAAAAACAAATAAATTATAATTGATAAATGGACATTTCGTTGATCAAGAATTACGACATTATTCTGCAAGTAATAATTAAAAATAATTGAATTATAATTGACAACTGAAAATTTCTTTGATCAAGAATTACGAGGTTATTACTCATACAGCACTTAAAAACAGTTAAATTATAATTGATAATCGAACATTTCTGTGACTGAGAACTAGATGTAATTATGCAAGTGGCAATTGAAGAGAATTAAATTAGAATTGATGATTAAGCACTTCCTCAATTAAGACGTATAAGGTAATTATGCCAGTATCAATAAAAGACAAATTAGAATTAATGATTAGGGACTTTTTTTATTTGAAATGACAATGTAATTATCAGCAATTAGATGATTTGATTAATAGTCGAATACCAATTAAAATTCACGACTTATCTGATTATCAGTTAGATGATTAAGTTTTAATAAATGATTGAGATAAATGATTGTTCTTTCAATTTAGAATTACAATGCAATTATTCTATTAATTAGACAAGTAAATTATTGTTAATTGTGTTACTGAAGTATTCACTGTTTTTAATTAAATATTGAATTGTTTGTTAATTGGATTTTTATTTATAAATTTTTTATTTTTATACTCAAGTAGTAGTAATTTTTAATTTTTATTTCTAGATTTCTTTATTTTCAAGTCTCATTTATTTTTCATTTTTATATTCAAGTTTTATTTATTTTTCATTTTGGTTCTCAAGCTTTATAAATTTTTTATTTTGATGTTCAAGTTTTATTAATTTTTAATTTTCATTTCCAGCTTTCTTTATTTTCAAGTCTCATTTATTTTTCATTTTTATATTCAAGTTTTATTTATTTTTCATTTTGATTTTCAAGCTTTATAAATTTTTTATTTTCATGCTCAATTAGTATTAATTTTTAATTTTCATTTTCAGCTTTCTTTATTTTCAAGTCTCATTTATTTTTCATTTTTATATTCAAGTTTTATTTATTTTTCATTTTGGTTCTCAAGCTTTATAAATTTTTTATTTTGATGTTCAAGTTTTATTAATTTTTAATTTTCATTTCCAGCTTTCTTTATTTTCAAGTCTCATTTATTTTTCATTTTTATATTCAAGTTTTATATATTTTTCATTTTGGTTCTCAAGCTTTATAAATTTTTTATTTTGATGTTCAAGTTTTATTAATTTTTAATTTTTATTTCCAGCTTTCTTTATTTTCGAGTCTCATTTATTTTTTATTTTTATATTCAAGTTTTATATATTTTTCATTTTGGTTCTCAAGCTTTATAAATTTTTTATTTTGATGTTCAAGTTTTATTAATTTTTAATTTTTATTTCCAGCTTTCTTTATTTTCGAGTCTCATTTATTTTTGATTTTTATATTCAAGTTATATTTATTTTTCATTTTGATTTTCAAGCTTTCTTTTTTATTTTTAAGAAGTTACCTATTTACCCAATTCGTCTTTAACTGAGCACTGAATTTATAATTTAATATACTCGACCAAATTTTTGATCAAACTGTGAAGAATGTATTACAAATAGAGCGAATGTAAATGTCTTAAAAGAAATTTTAGCAACGTGTTTTCGACAAAAGTGTTGCTCCCTGAAACTCAGACCGGAATTACGCTACTGTTTGCATTTTTATGAGAGCGTCTGAATTGGAAAAGCGGCAATAACACCAGCACCACCCCCGCAATATATCATCGTCGAAGATCTTGCGAAAAAAAAGTGAAACTCATGCGGGTTATTGGCACCCGTTACGCATATATTATTTTTGTTACAACACAAAGAGACAATATCGTTGCAATGAAACAGTAAACAACAGTTTCAACAAACTTGATACGCTTCGATTCATTTTGTTTCCTTGTCGAAACTTTATCCGGCCATTTTGTATCTTCGAAGCGACCGTGGACGGTTACGAGAGACATTGAACGTCTTAAAAGTTCACGAACAACGTTTCAAATTCGTGTATTGCGACGCACAGTAAAAGGAGAACGGTATTGCTACGTTTTTATGCTTTTGAGGTTATGTTGATGAGTTACGTTTATGAGGTCTGTTAGGTTAAGAATGTTTCAGGTTTTAAATTTAAGGATTAGGGTTCAAGGTTTAAATTTTCGGGATTGGTGATGTTTTACGTTTTAGAATTTAAGTTTTTCAATTTACGAATTTTTAATGTTTTAAGTTGTGGAATATTCAAGGTTTTAGATTTGGAAATTTTTAAGGTTTTAAGTTTATAAATTTTCAAGGTTTTAAATTTATAAATTTTCTGGGTGTTAAATTTACTGATTTCCAAGGTCTTTTTTTATTAATTTTCAATATTTTAAATTTGTAAATTTTCAGAGGTTTTAAGTTTATAAATTTTTAAGGTTTAAAATTTATTATAGAGATTAGATTAGTTTAGGTGAGGTTCAAGTTTTTTAATTTTAGATTTTATAATTTACAGACTGAAGAATTTAGAAATTTTCAAAGTTACAAATTTTTATTTTTACATTTAAAAGTTACTACATCTTCAAATTTACAAATTTACAAATTTTAATATCTTGAACTTTACATAATTTTAAGATAAACTTCAGCAAAATCTTGAAACTTTAAACTTGAAGCATTTCATCCCTAAAAACAAAGGATGGCAATATAACGAAGGTCTAAAAATTGCCATATACCAAGAACATCTCCCAAGACCAATATAATATTTATAAAACTTGAATTCATAAAAAAGACAATAAATTACAAAAAAAAACAACTGTTATATCTGTCGTGTCACACGATCTAATTTTTCGTTTTTTCTCCATTTTTTGCGGATAAAAGGTGCAGTCTCTAGAGAAGGCTCGTTATAGACACGAAACAAGGCTCCTATTATCATGTTAATAGCGAACAATGTAAAAATGCAGAAACAAGCCGCATAATTGCACGTAACGTGACTTGTAATTGTTACATTGGCGAGCACATCGTTATGTAGATCAGAAATAAATGTGTCAGGGAAGAATATACGTCAATGACGTGTCGCAAACGATTCTTTGATTTCGCAACACACTGTTCCTGTTTCTTTAGCATTCGATAACGAACCGTTTTGAATAATCGAAGTCAATAATTAATCATTCTGTGATCGACTTCTTCTTGCGCGATCTTGTTTCAATAATTGTAGTGAAATATTCTGTTTAGTCAAATATTACTGTTTCGATCGTATCACCTTCTTCATCGTTCGAAAAAATTATTACGTTCATATTAAACAGATTTCAAATTTCATTTTCTGTTACTTTTAATTGGTGCTATATTTTATACTGTTGGTTCCAAAAGAAAATGGCGTTCGACTTAATCTAAAAAAATTACATTTTTTCCTTTTGATTTCCAAGCAGATATCAAATTTAATTTTCTGTAATTTTTAATTGGTGCAATATTTTGTACTGTTGGCTCTAAGAAGAAATGGCGTTCGAGATAACCTAAAAAAAATGCAATGTTTCCTTTCAGTTTCCAAGCAGATATCAAAATTAATTTCCTGTAATTTTTAATTGGTGCAATATTTTGTACTTGTAGGTTCTAAAAAGAAAGAGCCTTGCATCTAACCTAAAAAAAGGCATTTTTTAATTTCAAAAAGTTTCTGAAAAAATTATCTTCAATAAATATTAATCAGATCAATTCTCATTTTTATTCAAAGCAATAATTTAAAACTGTTCCTACGTCATTTTATGCGACAATCTCTAAAGAGAAATCACGATCCCATTTTACAAACTCGCATAACCTCAAAATGAATTCGAAATTCATCAAGTTTATTAATTTAATTTTAAACTCGAAGGAAATATAATCTTGTAAACGTAATCTAAAAGATAAAGAATTTGAAGTACTGAGGTAAAGAATATTGTGCAACATTTTTGGAATCTGTTTATGTTTAGGATAAGTTCCCTCTCCTCCATTCTCAATTGAACGACGCATACAGTTAAGGGTCGGAACAGGGGTGTTGGTGATTTATTATACTGAAATAAGAAGGGTACAAAAAGCAATAAGGAGTGTTTATGATGGTCCATGATTTACGGAATTTCAGATATACTGTTTTGTAGACGTCTGCTTTTCAATTTCGGAATTTTTTAGCCTCTTGTTATTTTACTTTTCATAAATCATCTACTAAAATTATTGGTAATTCATATAGCTCATATGTAAGATTTAATCATATGAGTTCATATGTGGTTATAAGTTACAAAAAATTGCACTTTATTTCTATACAAAAGTATTTGCATTCAGATGATCATCTACTTAAAATTATTAATAATTCATATAGTCCATACATAAGATTTAACCATATGAGTTCACATATGATTAGTTACCAAAAATTATAATCAACTTGCATTTTATTTCTATACAAAAATATTTGCATTGAGATGATCACCTACTTAAAATTATTAATAGTTCATATAGTTCATACATAAGATTTACCTCATTTATAAGATTTAATCATGTGAGTTCACATATGATTACAAGTTTTCAAAAATTATAATCAACTTGCATTTTATTTTTATACAAAAATATTTGCATCAAGATGATCATCTCCTTAAAATTACTAATAAGTTACATAGTTCATACATAATATATACCTCATTTATAATATTTATCCATATGAGTTCACATATGATTAGTGACCAAAAATTATAATCAACTTGCATCTTATTTCTATATAAAAATATTTGCATCCAGATGACAGAATGTCATCAGCATGACTCATAAACATTCTTCGAAAGTATGAAATTTTTTGTAAAATACATAGTGCACATACCTGTCCAAGGAAACCGCAACAAGGCTATATACAGAGGCCGCCACAGAAACGCCCTGTATGTAAGCGACTGCTTTACACATGAACCATCCCAGAAACCATGCTGAAACATAAATGCATCACTTATCAGTTACTGTCGCAGAACAACACAAAATTACTATTTTCATTCTTTATTAACATTGCTCGTTTTACTTCTTTAAATCAATTTCAGGAAAATATTCTGAAGCTTATTGATGAGCTGTAGTACAAGTTCGAGGTTAGGTTTATGTAAACATGGAGGGATTGGCACTTTTGTTGGTCCAACCTTAATATTTTCTTTTTTAAATTATTATACTAAAATTGTAGACTACTAAAATTGTACAAAAATGTTTAAAAATGATACTAAAATTGTAGACTACTAAAATTGTATAAAAATGATACTAAAATTGTATGAAAATGTATAAAAATGATACTAAAATTGCAGACTACTAAAAATGTATAAAAATGATACTAAATTTGTAGACTATTAAATTTGTATAAAAATGATACTAAATTTGCAGACTACTAAAATTGTATAAAAATGTAAAAAATTATACTAAACTTGTAGTCTACTAAAATAGTATAAAAACGTATAAAAATGATACCAAAAATGTATAAAATTATAATACATCATCGACAAAACAACTCGTTTCCATTACCAAAATATGCTTTTCCCAAAAAACAGCATAAAATATCTTTCATAAAAAGAGTACAATAAAAACGAAGGAAAAGTAGTCGTAAAATATTCGTGGCATGAATGTGAAATTTGTGAACGTGAAATTCTATGCACGAATTAAGACCAACAAGTTTCCCAAGACTTTTGGGGCGTAGTGTACGTCGACGTTGATACACATATGCCGTTCAACTCCTATTATCTGAGAAAACTGGTTTTAAGGACGTCAATGCAAAGAAGCAGTTAAAACGGTTGCATAATAACGAACAGAACGTGGTATATAATACGCCGCGGTACAGTGACTGCACAGTCTTTCGAAGCTTTCGTTGGTTACTGCTCGTTTCATTATAGCCGCTACGAAGGAGACGGCTTTCGCCGGTTAAGATTTCTTACAAAGAAGTCTGATTAAAAATTTGATTGTCACGTGCACGGTTACAGTACACTGATTAACGAACGCAACTGTTCTTTCGTACCTGTTATTTTAACAATAACTTTCGGGGAAATAAAGAATAACGTTGATGATTTAGTAGAAATATTTGTGAGGAGGATCGAGGGTTTGGGTAATTTTAATTTGGAGTAATTTGGGACTTGAGGATTTTGAGATTTGGGAATTTGGGAATTTGGGAATTTGGGAATTTGGAAATTTGGGGACTTGGGAATTTGGGGAATTTGGGGTTTGCAGGTTTTAAGATTTAGAGATTTTTGGAATTTGGAAATTTTGGGGACTTTGGGAATTTGGAGATTTAGGGTTTGGGGATCTGGGAATTTGGGGAATTTGAGGGATTTGGGAAATTTGGAGATTTGAGGATTTGGGGAATTTGGGGAATTTGGAGATTTGAGGATTTGGGGATTTAGGGTTTGGGAATTTTGAGATTTTGGGACTTTGAGGATTTGCAGATTTAGAGATTTTAGGACTTTGAGGATTTGGAGATTTAAAGATTTTGGGACTTTGAGAATTTGGAGATTTAGGGATTTTCTGACTTTGAGGATTTGGAGATTTAGGGATTTTGGGACTTTGAGAATTTGGAGATTTAGGGGTTTTCTGACTTTGAGGATTTGGAGATTTAGAGATTTTGGAACTTTAAGGATTTAGAGATTTAGGAATTTTATCAAAATTTAGGGACTTTGGAGACTTTGAACATTTTGAGATTTGGAAATTTGGGATTTGGGGATCTAAGGATTTGAAGATTTGGGGATTCGAAGACTTTTAGGATTTTTACACATTAGAATATTGGAGGTTTGAGATTACAGATTTCATAATTTTGCAAATTTGAAATGTTAGAATTTTACCATACAACCATGAAAGTTTGAAAGAACTGAAAAATTTCCCAGTTTTACAATTTTATAAATTTACAAGTTATTTAACCATTTGACAATTTTACAATTTAGTATTCTTACCATTATACAAATTTACAACTGTTCAATTTTATAATTATGTTCTGACATTTTGAAATTTCAAGAATTTTAGAATTTTGTAACTTTCATACTTTGGAAGTTGAAAACTTCTTAAAATGTGTAATTTTGTAAATATGTAAATATAGAGACGTCAAAAGATGAGATTGTACAAAAATTTAATAACACCAACATAAAAAGTTAGTGCCTTAAGCAGGAAGTGATTAAGATATTACCTGGGTGTGCTAATTATACCTGTTGATTAAATTGTACTATCTTTTCTAAGGTATCATTATATATTATATCTTGATTATATAACAGTAAGGTCAGTAGGTGCGTTTTACGATCCATTTATTATCTTCTATACTCGAGTTTTGTATATTAATTATACTTAATCGCAGTTGTTTCATTCTATATTGCAAAATATTCTGAAGTATGAATAATAATGAATAATATTTCTATTTGTAGCTGGTCGAAGAATTTTAATTAAAAAATTACTGAATTTTTATTTTACTTTAAAAGAATCAAGCTTGAAAAATTATTGTAAAGAATAAAATAAAATAATATTTATGATATATCGGTTTATTATACAAAATTTAATTAAAATTGCAAATAAATAAGAAAATGAAATAGCATTTACGACACATCAATCTGTAGATCAAAATTTAATAAACATTGAAAATAAATAACAAACTAAAATAGCATTGATGATATATCTGTTTGATGTTCAAAATTTATTTAAAATTATAGTAGATGACAAAAGGAAATAAAATAAAATAGCATTTATGATACATAAATCTATAGATCATAATTTAATAAAAATTACAATAAATGTCAGAGTGAAATAGGATTTATTACACATCAATCTGAAGATCATAATTTAATAAAAATGACCACAAATGTCAAAGTGAAATAGGAATTATGACACATCAATCTGAAGATCATAATCTAATAAAAATCCCCACAAATGACAAAATGAAACAGCATTTATGATAAATCGATCTGTACATCAAAATTTAATAAAAATATCTATACAAAGTAACACATGTCGCATCATTTCATTAGCAATAATATTTTCTAATATTAGCATCCCTATCCCGCATGTATATTAGAACAGTCAAATGAAATCACAACTCATTAAAAATAATACCAGTCATATCACCTGATATGATTCGCAAATTATCTATATCCTTCAAACACGACTAAAATCTCCATAGAAAAAAAGATATTTGCACTTCAAACTGTCTAACTCCTACATCGTACTCTCTAATTATGCAAACGACCCCTTCAAACCAATTACTGAAATTAAACTTTCACGCCTTAAAATACACGCTACCGTTCCCCTCCTATCGTATAAAATAATTCAGCTCGAAAGGAACACGTCATTAGCGAGAAAATCACGTGCTATATTAAAAAAAACAGGTTTCTCGCACATTTCCCTAGTTCTTTCGTGTGCCGATTGTGTGGCCTTTAACACCCGGTACCGAAAGTATTGTACGAAGTGAAGGGTACGCACGAGGCCACATAGAAAGGAACTTCCGGTGGACCTATTTATCTTGCTATTCAAGACACTTAACACTAGATCGCAGTTCGATGATCTTGGACTTCTTGTGTTTAATTGGGAAAATTATTCTGAAGCTTTCGAACAAAATTTGGGGTGATAGGTTATGAGGTGCCATATGTGGACACTTAAGTTCACATATGAATTACTCATGTTATTTAAGAATTTTATTTACATAACTGAGAATGTTTGACTACTTGGAATTGTGAATAATAATTATAGTAAATAATGTGAAATTATTTGGTAATTTTTGTATTTATGTTGACACTTCAGCTGGCACCATATGTGGACACTTAAGTTCACATATGAATCACTCATGTTATTTAAGAATTTTATTTACATAACTGAGAATGCTTGACAACTTGGAGCTGTGAATGATAATTATACTAAATAATGTAAAATTATTGGGTAATTTTTGTATTTATGTTGACACTTCAGCTGGTACCATATGTGGACACTTAAGTTCACATATGAATCTATTACTCATATTGTTCAAGAATTTTATTTTGCATAACTGAGAGTGCTTGACCACTTGGAACTATGAATGATAATTATACTAAATAATGTAAAATTATTTGGTAATTTTTGTATTTGTGTGGATACTTTAGCTGGCACCATATGTGGACACTTAAGTCACACATGAATTACCCATATTATTTAATAATTTTATTTACATATCTCACATCACTTGCAACAGTGAATAACAAAAATAATAAATGATATAAAAATGTTTGGTAATATTTCTATGTGTGTTATCAGCTTAGCTACTACGTCACACATATGTGGACACTTACATATGCATCTATTACTATTTACGAATTTTGCGTATATAACTGAAAATACTTGTATCAACTACTTGCAATAGTGAATAATAAATACAGTAAATAACATAAAAATATTTTTAATAATATCTGTATGTGTATTATCACCTTAGCTACCACATCATATGTGGACACTTAAATTTCATTACAAACCTCCATACTAATATTTATGAATTTCTTTAAAAAATATTACAAACAATATTCCCACTATCCTCCAATATTTTCCAACATCTTCCAACAATTTTCAATATTTTCCATTTCAAAAAAAAGAACAAATAAAAATATATACCCAGAATCATGCAGCGAACGTCAAAGTCGGGAAACCTGTCCCATCTCGAAGCCCCGGTAGGATAAAACGATGAGAAACAATTTTGTTTTCATAAAATATATCGAACAGTGCGCGTCAGCCATGTTTCATTTATTTACAGAATCCAGATATCGACAGATTCGAGTGCACATCGAAGACGATGTCGCAAATATTCATTCAGCGGAGTAGAGCGAGTTTGGGCCGACATATCCATCCACAGGGAAGAGATCGAATAGAAACGAAGTCTTCCGTTGAAAAAGTTTCAGCGAAATCCAGAAAAATTCGAGGCTTGCTTCCAATCAACCATGTTTTGGCAACGTGACGCTTCCGA